GCATGTTTTCAGTGGTGTCTAAAGGAGCTGAGGGCTCCCCAGGCCCATCGCTATTCCCAGTTTCTCCTTCTTTGCTCTCCTGAGTACTGCTGGTGCATACTGGTGGTCCCCAATCTCCCCTGGTTGTTATCGACTTTTATGGAAATCCTTTCTTCTGCCGCCTTGTGACCCAAGTACCAGCATAAGCAGTTTTAATTTTACTAGGCTCATACCCACCCTTGCAGCTGCCGTAATCCCTGGTTTGGGGCCCACTGGTATAAATATTGCCTACGACCTCTCAGGCCGTGCATCATGTTCATATAAACAGCGCCTCAAGGTTTAACTAGGTAGTGCCAGCTACATCTACACTTGGCCCAGCTTTTACTATCTCTCATATCAAATGGCACAGTGACACTTGCTCCCCTTTGTGAGAGATTCTCTTGTAATGGCATCGACTAAACCCAGGAGCTTTGAATACACAAGGGCTGTTTCTCCAGAAATCAGCATTAATGCAAATCCCTGACATGAGCCCCATAACAGTGTCATATACGTTATTCTGTACCGGCTGGAGCGTGCATTCCTTGGGCAGCGTTGGAGACACACGGCTGCTGATGAGCTGAATTGCAGAAAAGGCTGAGAGATGTTGAGATGGGTCAGTACATACCCAAACAGCTCCTGCCTTTGCTCAAAAATTGCAACACGCTGCTCCCCAGCTGTATGTGTTTCAGCTCCCCTTGAAATGCAGAGAAAAAGAAGTAAATTGGCCAAAATAATCTGAACAAAACTATCAAGGAAGGATGGATCTGAGCTTCTCTGGAGGCCTTAGCAACAGTGGAGGTGGTTGAAAGAGGGAGCAGCTTCTCTTTTCTCCCTCTCCTGGAGAGAAAGGAGGACAGGATGGAGGGATACCCTCGCCGAGGGCCACCCCAGAGCCGCAGGGCTGTGACTCGGCATGATCCCGGAGGGGATGGAAGAGCTAAAGTGAGGAGGAAAACACCATCCAAGTGCTTTGCACTGCAGCAGATCCCTGGGGTCCCGCGTGAGCCAGCAGCAGCAGCACATTACCCATCGCCGTCCCGGTGCTCTGAGTCACGCCGAGCCTCAGATGGCCCCAGAAGAGGGACGGGGGGCTAAAAATCCCTCCCGTGACTCCCACACTCAGCCGAGCTGGCCAAGCTGGCCACCAAGCACCCACCAGGGACTTTTTACACGTGATGCATTGCTCCATGCTCACGCTAACCCAATGTGAGTTTTTCGAGACGTTGGCGCTGGAGAAGGGCTGTCTCCCAGCCTCAGCCACAGGATACACACAAGGTAAAATAAAATACTCAGTGCGATCTAATATAATTTAACTTCCAGGATTGCTTCCACATCTAGTTTAGGCTGATAATCAAGACTGGTACAGTTTAAATCTTCTTTTGCAGAATGAAAAAGATGTCACTCAAAATTTATGTTCCCCTCTGCAGGACTTCCTGCGCGATAAACAAACAAGGGCTCATCTCTCTGCTGCTTCTCCTTCCTTTCTCCCCTTCTTCCTTGGGATGCGGTTCAAACAGACAGAGAATAGAGCCATTATAAGACAAAATAGAAAGCCACAGGATGCAATAATTCAGGTTTTAATACACTTTTAAATTGGGAGTTTGATTTAGAAGGGAAATGAAGATGCAGCTCGGTGGAAGGATCATTCCCCAACATCCCCAGCACGCCAGGGTCAGCTTGCTCCAGTCTCCTCTCCGCTCCCCAGCCCTGGGCTCGCAGTTTGGCACCTCGTTTGCTCAAATGTGGGAAATAGCAGAAGTTCATGGAGCAGCCCTGCTCCTATTAAAACCACGTTGAATTAATTAGAAGTGAGGGATGGGTCTGGTTTATTTTTAGTTCAAAAAATAGAGGCAGGAAATCTCCAACCTCACAAACGCCATTCTGGACAGTCACCCCTACCACACGTTGGGTCAAATCCTTCCCCAGGCAGTGCTCAGCTCCACCAGGCTGACCTTCTCCAACTTACTCCACCAAAGAAACCCCTGTGTGAAGCTTCAAGGTGATGGAGACCAAGGTCCTAGGAGCCAGTAACAACAATAAAAAATCATTTTGGCAGCCACTTTGCCCATTATTTGTTTTACAACTCATCTGTTTTGATAAGCATGTGCCCGGGGAGGCACAAGACAGCAGCAAAAGGCACCAGGTATCAGGCAGAAAAGGGCACTTGCATGCTGTCTTAGATGAAAGTTAACACGTTCCCGCAGTTCAAATTCATCCCTGGGGACAGGGCCCAACAGCGCAGGATTGCCACCCTAAATCTGCTTGATCCCTTGTATGATAAAATTGAAACATACGGATTAAGGATGACAAATACAGGTCAGGGTCTCCCAGTCTGCGCGGCAGAGGCTGGCGGCACAGAACCACGCAGTGTGCTACCCAGCTGGGATTTCAAAATCAGACCATAAGAGTCTCAAATGCACTTAGCTATGTGTTTAATAAAGTTTTAATTGCAGAGTGATTTATATTCTGTGATATTACAGAATTACCACGGATTACTTAATTGACTGTTCACTTGCTGAGGTTAAGCAGGTATTTCTCTCAATATGTGTTTTTGCTCCTATAGATCCCTGCCTCCATATTATTTGGCACAGCATTGTCTGAGCAACGGAAGCAGAGATCCTTTACCAGGAGAAAACCACTTTCATTTCACGTGTTGGTAAATTTAACAGGCAGATGTGTAAGACTCTTCAAATTGGCTGTAGAAAGAACCCAGATCCTGCCGTTCTTAAAGAGCTGCGTGCAGGGGTAAGCAGCTGGGAAGTGCCAGTGCATGGAGGTTTCTGCAAAAATTGTGATGTGTACAAATGAACTTGTGTTGGGAGCCATTTGGGAAGCTGCTTTCACAGCCTGAAAATCCAGCTAATCCTGTACAGGCACTGGGAAAGCGGATGGACTGGAGCTGTGATGTTGGCTCATTCCCGTCGGCCCGAGGCTGATGGATGCAGGGAGAGAGGCTGGAGAGTATCGCTTCTCCTGCGGCCCCTGGGAGGGATCTCCTGGGAAGTCATGGGTGGACTGCTCCATGCAGGGCAAACCAAAGGTCCATCCGACAGAGGAGTTAATTTCTGGAGGCGGCCAAAAGCAGGTGCCCAGAAATGTGACAGAGCAAGGCGGGCACCCCGCGCTCCCTCCGAGCTTCCTGGTGGATCTCCCCACTTCTCCTGTGCCACATGTCATTTCTGGGCTGTCCCCTGCAAAGTCCCAGCAAAGCTCCTCAGGGCAGGATCAGACGCAGGTCAAATTCATTCACTTGATGGCATCTGAAGAGCTGCAGGCCATCTAACGATGAACTACATCTGCAATCACAGTGGCCATATAGCAGCCAAAAATATTCAGATTGAAATAATGAATTCACTTGGATAAGAGAATAAAAACAGGCCCTCTAGCCTTCTTTCCAAAACATGTCCCTTCAGCTGCCTAAAACTTTATTGAATAAATGGCTTTTGCAGCATTCCTGGAAGATGCTTTCATACATCATGCAGGCTGATGCTAAAAGAATATAACCGTCTCCATCGTTAGTTATGTGTTTAATAAAAGAGATAGCACATGGAGTTGAAGTAAGGCTGTGAGGACGGAGCTGGACACCAGGAATTATTTAATTTCTGTACAAATTAGGCGGTGACTCTGCTAGTGATGACACCCACAAAAATAGGGCACAGACACTTCCCTCCCCACTGTGTTACTGAAGCCTCCCCTGTGCCTCTTGGCTGAGTAACGGTGATGGGGAGAACCACAGCCAGACTTGCTCCTCCTGGACCGCATTTTTCAAGGGAAACACGTCTTCTGCATATCTCCTCTATGAGCTATGGCATAGTCCCTGTGGGATTACAGCATCTGGGTTTGGAACATATCCACTTAAATATTTTCAATCCCAAGGCAGAAGGAAAAGCCGCCTTTGCCTCCACGTGCCAAATCCGCATTGCACTGGTGGTGCGTAGCTCTGTAAGAAAGCTTTGCTGCTTCCTAGCCCTTTACAGGTCACAAAAAGGACAAGAGTGATGCGGCCCTTATTCTCTGTAGAGCAAATTTGGGATAAAAAATTAACATAATTATTTTATTTAGCCTTGATTTTCTTCTTGTCTTTTATTGTGTTATGTTTTAACTGAGGTTTCTTTATTTCCTGCTAGGATTCTGCCAGAATCCTGTCATTTCATACAGAGGTTGAAATGCATATTACAAAAGGAAACAAATCTTTCCCTTGATTGCCCGATATATCTACTTTTTAATCTAGATTGACAAACGCACTCCACCAACAGCACTTTTAACCTTCAGAGTTGTTGCATTTTATTTTCTATTGTTTGATGTCCCTCGGCAGAAATCTGGAAAGGAAAAAAACATACCGTCTTTCTCTGCTTACCCTTTAATTAATCATTTTTATTACGGCAATGTCCAGACCCAAACGTCTTGTAATCACTGTCTCAGGTATTGCCCGAATGTAGAACAAAAGGACGAGCCCTGCCACCAGAAAGCAGCTCCTGAGGCTGTTTAATGATCCCCAGCACCGTGGGGACGGCGGCCGGTGGCTCCGCGTAACAAACTAATGGGATTATAGTGTCCCTGGCTCCCTGTCTACCTGGATGAAAAACATACACTAACTGTCCCTGCGAGTACTTTGGACAAAATACCCAGTGCCACAAGGTGAATGAAACACAAGGACAGATGCAAAGACAGTTTCGTTTAAGCCAGTGTCTGAACGAGGCATCAGCAGTCCTTTATCTGTATCGTACCTTCTTTTGTTCCTAATGTCACTGCCCCCGTGCTTACTGCTGTTTTCTATTATTTCTGTTATGCTTGTTTTTACAGACATTTGCAGGCTGGTTGTCCCTCAGGGTTATTAATTCTTTGCACAATGGCAACAGAAGAACAAAGTGGGGCTTTAGGAAAACAGTTTACAGCGATAAACACCACACAGACAGGTCCCTTTTTCACCCTTGGTGAAGAATTGTTCATGAAAAATAACGGGCTTTTTTCATACCTTGCAGGTGCTGTGGTGATTGCCTTCGTGGTCTGTTGGCTCCCTTATCACATACGGCGTCTCATGTTTTGCTACGTCCCCTCCAGTCACTGGACAGAGTGAGTCACGGCTCGGGGGACGAGCTCCCCCCACGCCAGGACGGGGTACGGGGGCAGGCTGGAGCTGGGGCTGCCGGGGCACCGGCAGACTTGGGGATGGAGGTGGGGATCTGGGAGCACAGGCGTTCTCCATGCAAGGTGGTAAAGCTTCAACCTCCTAATTGTTGGTTTGTTTTTTTCTTTTGGATTTCCTACCATGATTGCCAGCCAAATTAAGAGTCCTAGTTGTATCATCAAAATCCCCCAGGTATGGGTGAAGGAAGCATTAGCTTGAACCAAAATGCACCATCAGCCTCTCCTTCTTCTGTGGCTGCGACCACAGACTTGCCCCCGTTAACAACGGCGATGGATATTCACCTCTGATAGTCCTCGATGCAATGACACTTGGACAGGGGGGGTTTATACATCCGAAGTGGATTGCTGTCTCCATGGCAGAGATATCAATCACCGGCCCTAAGATGGAGCAGCTCCTGTCAACACACAATTTAGCTCCACGACGCCACATTTCCGTAGCGATAGGAGAGATTACACAGGTGGGGAAATAACTGCGCTGCTTACTGAGCCTGGGGCAGGTTATTTACTGGGTTTTGCAAGGAGTGGATCAAAATTCAATACTAGTAGTCGCCACTGATTAGAAAATGTCCCAATTCTCAGAGAATTTAGGGATAATCGCACACCTATGCTGAATGCACATGTGCTGTTCACAGATGTGCAAGGGCACACAAGCAGCTCCCTGCAGCCTTTCTCCGCGTCAGGCCAGGTTCCTCAGCAAAGCAGCCACAGAACTGATTATTCATTTTAAATATGCAAGTAAGCGTGTATGCTGTCTGGGGATATACACCCAGGTAGCCTGAGACGCCACGAGATGCGCTCAGTGAAAAGTGTGTCTTTTCTTCCATGGCGTTACGTCCCTCTTCTCTCTGGGTCTGTTTCCTGCAATGAACAGGAAAAGAAAAAGAAAATCTGCAATACCAAAAAGCAGAGCAACTCTGAGACATTAAAATTTCATAAACTCCAAGCACAAAAAATAGTAATTTACGATATAGCACTCTACTGAATGGAATTGTACATCCATCCGTAGTAAAAACCCAAACCTATCTTCAATCATGAAAACAGAGCTCTAGGCACACACACTGGGACAAACTATTGTTTCTTGTCTGCTTTCCTATATGAAAAGCACTTAAAGCAGCAATCAATTATGTAACGACTGCATTTGCTTTGAGCAAGAGGGGTAGAGAAGTCTGTCTGCAGTTAGTGTGAATTTATGCATTGTGGTTGCATTCACATATTTTTTTTTCTTCTTTTGAAAGCCATGAGCGGTTTTAGGGAAACGTTGAATTTATAGGCATATTATGAATGGTGAGCTGTCAGTATGGCAGCTAATCAAGAGCTTGCAGCAGCTTGACATGTTCATTTATAAATGCATGTGCCTGCCCCTGAAGAAAAGAAATTTTTGCTATATTAATTCTTCACAACTGCATAGAGAAACTCTGCTTGTAAGAGCTGGATGGGCCATGCGGTACTTGGCAGTGCTGAGGGGGTGTGGAGGGATTAGTGATGTACTCCAGCACGCGTCTATTTATCTTTTGTTAGACAGTGCTCAGACTAACAAAAAGGTCTGCAATTTCCACTGAGATAAATGATCCTGGGGAACATCTTCCTGAAAAACAGACCCACGTTGTTTATAAATGCTTCACCAGCTCAGAGCTGTTGATCTCAGTTGTCCCAAGGAAAGATCTTTCCAAAAGAAAAAAAAATAACTAAGCATTTTCAACCAATTCTAGTTGAAAACATTATATTGTGACGGTCAGGATATGTTTCAAAAGCATGCTGTCATCAACTTTCCCCCAGAATAGAGAATGCTATCCCAGATTACCGACAAATCCCAACCCAGGGACCCACTGAATGAGCTGATGCAGCTCTCACTGCTGGGGGAAGGAGAGACCTGCATCTGTTACTGGATCTTGGCTCTTCCGCAGGCTCTGTAGACCAGAACTGCAGCCAGAAAAGTCAAGCTAATGTATATGCATGACACAGAAACAAATTTCCATCTGACTTCTCAGTTTCCAGAACGCTATTTTCGAAGACAAAATGAACACACAAGGTAAATATCACGTCCGGACCCAGGGCATAAATAAGTTTCTAACTGCTAGTGTTTGGGGTAAGACCTTTGTAGAGGCATTTGACCTACGTTTGGCCAGTCCCAGTTGAAAACATAGATGTTTTCCTGGTGGCTCATGCACCATTGGTAAGCTCACGTCCCCAATGAAGAAAGATTAGCTCGTGTTTTTCTCACCTTGTGACTTTGAATTATTTCAGTTCTTCACACTCTATTTAGATTTTTATCTTTCATCTGTCCGTGCAGTTTCCTGTTCAACTTCTACCACTACTTCTACATGCTGACAAACGTCCTCTTCTACGTCAGTTCGGCAATCAACCCCATCCTCTACAACCTGGTGTCTGCAAACTTCCGACAGATCTTCCTCTCTACACTCACACTCCTGTGCCTGCCATGGAGGAAGAAGAAGAAACGACTGGCCTTCACCAGGAAATCCAACAGCATCTCCAGCAACCACACGTTTTCCAGCCAGGTCACAAGGGAAACTACATACTGAAGCCAAAGGACGAAGGGAAATGCATTTCATCGTGGGGTCAAAACTTGTGAGGGGCCTCTGTGGCTTTCATGCATGGTCTCCAAATTCACGTAACACAAGTGTGTTTAGCAAAGTCATTTTTGTTGGAAAAATAGGCTTTGTGCTGCCAGTAACTTTGAGGTTATTTTAAAGCATTGGCCTTGCCTCTTGTGAGTAACGTCTACACGTTTTGTAACTTCAGTCTGGCATAAATCCAGGTGCGGTGTTAACTGGGAAGCCAAAATATGTTAAACTTAGGCAAAACCATACTGCATTTCACCCTTTTCTCAGTGCAGAGATGCCATGTTCACATCTAAGGGTTTGAGATCATGTCTCTTGGTGGCACCGAGCAGAGAGTCTGATGAGGAGAACGCAGTTTTGAACAGAAAGGGATGTTTTTGGAGAATGGACGTGCTTATCTAGGGGATGTTCAATGAACAAGGAGTGAAAACTCAGGGAGGCAGGTGGTTATCTTAAAAATATATCTAAATTGTGATTAATATGACCTAGGTGCTTGAGAGAGCCGCTCTGGCTCCTTGAAATTAAATAACAACAGATGATGCCTTACCTAGATTGGGGTGCGTGTGGTCTGGGGAAATGGGGGTCATCTTTTATTTTAGGGCATATATAGTGCCTGGCACAGTGAACCCCCTCCCTCGCTGGTGTTGGTACTGCAACACCAATAAATAACAAAGTCTCTGGCAAAGTCAAGAATGCAGAAACTGTGCCCAGCTGGAGTGCTGAAAATGAACAGAAATGGAAAATCTTACTGTTGCCACACAGCCAAATCCTATTTTTTAGCAGGGAGAACAGTTAGCTGGCCTGCATTAAGAGGTGAGAAAACCCCAGGCTCGTGAGGGCTCGAGGCTGCTGAGATAAGAGCAACGCGACCCAATTCTGTGGGACCTTCAGGTTTTTCCCATTCTTATTCCAGTTTTACTTGTTTCCTCACCATTTTCACAAGGCTGACGTCTCATAGGTTATATCAGTTGTAGGTAGCAGGGCCTCTTGTTCTACCTTTTCTTTTATTTCTTTTTGCTACCACACCTGTTGGCACGCTGATCTGCACACACAAATCTTCAGACAGTGCAAATGAAGACCACAAGAAGGTCTACACTGGGGAGCCTTAGCTCTAAAATGACTTTCTTTTAACAAGGCAGAGGAACAGAAACAAGACCTGAAAATGCTCTTTATACTCTATAGGTAGCGTGAGCTTTTCTCTCATATGGTTCCGCCTCTAACAGCCTGCTATGTGATGCAGCAAATTGCTCCAGAGCCTTTAGCACCAGAAGTCACAGGCCTCTGGGACAAGCTAAAGGGCTTTCCCCGCTGTCACATCACCAGATGGTGACCTGCGTGAACCTGGAACCAACCAATCATCCTGTGCAACCTCTGCTGTGATTTTGCTAGTGGTGACCTTGCGTCCCCTTTCACACCACGCTTCATTAGGAGAGCAGGGCTTGCCTCTTTATGATGACAAACTAGAAGAGTCACTGGGCTGAATTCAGCTTTCTGGGCTTTGCTCATACCCTGTCACTCTTCAACTAACGAGCACCCTTGGTATGTAACAGAAGTCTCAATACTGGAGATGTGGATCTGACCCCAGTGAACAGTCACACAATGATGGAGACCAGTTACTGATCCACTGGGTACCGGTGACTTCTCCTGCTACAGAGGTGGTATCTCGTGGGTTAGGCCCTATTGGGCTCAGGGCATAGAGAAAACACTGGTGGGGCATTTGCTGTGAGTTGTGAGTGATGGCTATCTACTTCCAAGGCATTTATAACCTGGCAGTTGTACAGAGCTAGCTACCATGGTAGACCTGGCTACCATCAGCCATGACCTCCAACCACACCTACCAGGGATGGGAGATTATTTTAATGCCTAGTACAGAACCACTCCAAAAGAAAGGGCTCAAAATGGAAATCAGTGGGGCTTTAGTTTCTTCTGATTCAGCCAAACTGCAAGCTCTGTCCTGTCATGCCTTCTTTTAATTTCTTGCCCTGGTTGTACCAAACAAAGGGCAGAGATTATATTTGACAAAGCACTTTCGTTGATCAGGCACAGCTGACTCCTCTTTGGCAAGAAAAACAGGCAATGGCACACACACAAAAAAAAAGGGCAAAAAGGAGACTGGTCTCTTTGGAAGGAAATCTGTGAGGAACCAGCAAATGTTATCTGTGTGTGTGTGTTAGAAATGGCTTGGGCAAGGTGGAAGAAGAAGCTCCAGAAGACCTGTACATACTGCCTTGTGGGAAAGTCCAGGTACGATGAGCAGAGGAAGAGGAGTTTTAATGTCACACACTTAACATTGGCCTTCCAGGCAAGACACTTTAAATGTTTCTGGAAAGGACCTAAATTTTTTAACTTCACTTCTAAATAGAGTCAACAGCTGGGAGGTGGTTTCTGAAACCTCCCACGGAAGCTGTAACTGTGTGTTGCTTTGACTTTCATTAGGATTTAACATCCTGCGTGTCTCAGTTGCTTTTGAATTCTTAAACATTATTAATATACCTGTTCAACACCAACCTGCTGAAACGCGCTTGATTATCTTAGAAAACACTGTACAAAAATTGTTGTTTCACATAAGATGCTTGGCTTAGATTTTCATTACTGAGATACACTGGCAGCTTACAGAGTATTTGATTTATTACAGATATTACAGAATATTTGATCACAGCTCAGAGAAACTGGGAGGTTTATTTTTGGTTTGACATGAAAATGGGAATAAGCTGGAGGAAAAATGAACTTGGCATAAACTCTTTCCGCAATGTTTGTTGGGCCACTCGAGTCCTGAAGAGCTGACTGTTGGGGGGATTTATCCAAGCGGTTTGCTGGCTTCTACAGCTCCGTTCCTGCAGTTTAACACGGGAGCAGACCCGAGTCTATGGCCTTAATCCGAGATTGCAGCTCAAAGCCACACTGGCCAAATCTGACTACCTTGAGCTGAGAGGTGTAAATTACAGCTGATTTCATCCTCTCTCCCCTCCTCACCTAGTTTTGCTATATTCAACCTAGAGATTTAGTTCCCTTGAGCTCAAAGAAGTGAGGACAACTCACTGCAAGACCCCACGGTTTTGTAAAGGAAAGCATGATACCATAGAGAAGAAAAAGGTACAAACTGCCCAGTATATACCAGAAAAATGGTTCTTTCCATGCCTTTTAACAACGGTTGAACTACTAACCCAACAAGGTTTAGCTTTAAACCTAATCAAAGTGGCTTTTGCCATTAGACAAAATGCGTACTCCCATCCTTTGTATTCCTGTCTTGTTCTGAACTCTCTGCTGGGACAGAGAGGTGAGCGTTGGTGCAGCATGCTGTTAATCTATGCAAATTTCCTATAAGTGTTTTGAACTGTTTTGACTAAAAAAAAAATCTGTTGAGCCCACAGATGTGAAGTGCTGCCAGATGGATTCTGAGAAATTCCCATCTGAAGAGAGTCTATCAAGTGACCTCTTCAAATATTATTTTGAGGTTTCGTTTCTCTTCACAGTGTTCTTGTCAGGGCTGTCCATTTGGCAGCATGTGAAATCAGATTTCCAAAGTCATTACGCTATTTGGAAATTTCCCCCAGACAGGACTTTCTCACCAAAGGCCCAGTACACATCAGCGTTTGAACGCTTTGGTGAGCTTGTCTTTTTTGTAAAGTGCATGAGACCTCACTTCAGCGACTGCGCCCGTAAAGGAGAAAACGAAATGGAAAAGTTGGTGAGGAGGGTTAGCAGGACACGTGCTGTAAACATGACGATAGCAGGACCTTTGCATTTAGAGCATCAGATGTTCAGTGAAATAAAAAACAAGGTGTGCTGTTGCTGCAGACAGCTCGCGCTGCGGGTTTGAACCCATCATCTGTGCGGCTGCCATCGCTACCTGCCCTCGGGGAGGGACACACGTCCGCACGGCACGAGAGCGCTGGAGCTCTCCTGTGCAAGGCCTTGAGTGCTGGTCTGATATCCTCCTGGTCGTGTTGTTTGGTAGCTGTATCTGCTAGAGCTCTGTCTGGTTCTTAACATTACAGCTCAACAAGTTCTTCTGTTCCCAGTCTCCATTCGTTTAGTACGAAGACAGAAATCGCTAATCCAAAATTTCACGATGCCGTGTCCTGGCTTTGTGATCAGGAGTCCTTCCCCAGCCGTGCCACCTGATAGTCCTGCACAGATTGTATTTATGGCAAATATTTTTTAAAGTGCACCTTTTTTTTTCTGAAATACAAAATGTTGATGTGCTTTATTTTCTGTGGCCTGTTGCGCAATGGGAAAAAAAATGAATGTTAAAAGCGTGTCAGCGTCTCCTTTGTAATATTTTCTGTGACAAAGGGAAGGAAGAGGCTGTGAAATCCTTTTGTGTAGCAATGGGAAACACTCTTTCAATGTAACATGCTCTTATTGATACTGTATTTACTGATCAAACTGTAATGAAATGGTTACTTCCTGATATAGCCTTTGTACTGTATGGTATTTTATTTTATTTTATTTTGTCATTTATCGATCCTAAGAAATAAATATCCAAATTTAAGGCTTGGGCTAGTTATGCTTGAAATGGCAGCTGTGCCTTTATCACGCAGCCTGCTTACCAGCACAGGCTATCCGGCTGTGGTCTAAACCGGTGAAATCCCATCGACCTTGAACTGGCCCAAGGGCGCCCGCGTGCTCCTCTCCCACAGCCTGCAAGCACTGGCTATTCGGCACAACGCAGCATCCGAACGCCAGCTGCTGCTCGTGTCTGCCAGTCGGCAAACAAATGGGGGGAAAGTCTGGCTAGGTCTGAGGGAGACTCCCATCAGTGAAGCTTGCCCTGAGAAATCCCTCCTGAGATCTGGCAGAACCGAAGAGGGTCCGTGCTGGTTTACAGTCCCGCTGGGCTGTTAGGAGCAGCGATGGTGAGCATCCAGCTGCCTTCGGTTGAACCCCTGGGCTTTGAGCGTGTGGCACCCACAAGCCTGAAGTATGTGAGTGGAGATCTTCTGGGCTTCAAGAAAGACCCGTGCCGCACAGAGGGCAGCTGCTGGGCTGAGATCCAGGTGGCACTACAGGAGTCTGCCTGTTTTCTGAACTCCTGTCTTGCTTGTCTTGCCTGCTTGCTTTCCCCTGTTGTAGGGCGAACATTAAAGACGTATCTC